AGATGTTAATCTTTTAGGTACTGAACTTATATATTATATTAATAAAGGAGTATAATTAACTAAGTATAAAACTTATCTTTCGCAAACCCTTTGAACCTATTATAAATTATCTGTAATCCTTGCATTTGTGCAACCCTTTAATTATTGTTAGTAAACTTATTATATGATATTGTATTGATTTACTGTATTGACTTGGAGTTTCTAAAGTGTAATCTCTGAAAAATCTTTGAGTTATCTTTGTGTTTATTTTATATTTACCTCATGTGATTTATATTGAGAATAATTCTTCGATATTATTGTGAATTCTCATTCGTGATTCTTTGAGTAATTGTCTTAGTTTTATTTACCCTTTTGAGATTTTATTGAAGCCACAAAACTATCGTGACAATGGGCAAGACTAACTAATTATCTGATTGATTAAATAATGCATAAATACAACTATATTATTATAATTATTTTTTTAGATATAATTAATAAACCAGAACATTTAGAAGCATTAATCAAATATATTTTTAAAAATAAACTTAAAAAGTGAAGCTATAACAGTTATATTGATGACATAGTTAATAATAAAGAACAATCAGCAAACTAGTATAATACTCAGAAAGATTAAGATAATTATATAGTTTCTGTTCCTTCTAACCTTACTAATTAAAATGAACGAGTTTTAAAATCCTTGACTCTTTCTAATATATTCTAAAGACAAGAAGATCCAATTATAACAAGTAGTGATAACAAAAAAAATAAAAATTATCGTTACGATTCTAAGAATGACAAGCATAAGTTTCGCACTCATCAAGTAACTTCAGAATCTGATATTAGTGATTCTAATAGTTCGTCAAGCAGTTTGAATCAGAAATCTTATAGATATCAAAATATATTTATATTTCAGATATGCCAACTAATCTTTGACAAACCCTGAGAGTAAATGATGTTTCATTTTAATTTTAATTTAGGTATTTTGCTAATTATTATAAATACTTACATCTTAACAAGAAGTTATATAGAATATTAAAAGGCTGCCAGAAGACAAAAAATTGCAATTAAATCAAACTTTTGAATTACAAAAGGATCTGGTAAATGGCATTATAATTCTGACTGTAATGGAAGTATTAGATCCTGATACCTTTCCAGTTGTAGAAGGAATTGTCTATGATATTATTCATATTAGACACCATTACCAGCGTGAAATATACCTAGCATGAGAATGATCAATGACATACAACGATAATCAGAAATGAAGAAAATATTTTAATAGTTATAGTAATGAAATAAGCAGTAAATAATTAATTTTTAATATTCTGTTGCCAATTTTTTCTTTTTATTTTGAATCATAGAAATAAAATAAATGAGTGAGAATGATAGGATGCTTGCAAGATATTAATGATCTATTAATCCAAAAGTTTCATGAGAGTCAATTAGTTCTAATTCTCAAGAATAATGTTTACCACTCACCGGAAATTTTTGAAACAGATGAAGAAATACATCTGGTAAAAGAAAATTAACTATAAGAGATTTGAGGTAGCATTTAACTACTGTAAGTAATCATTAATCTCCATTGTTGATTTAATTTATGATAATCTATATACAGTATTCTAACTATAATTTATAAGTTATGTTTGTTTTTACAAAATTATATAGATCAGATAATTGATAAAAAATTAAAGATTCTGAAAGAAAGAAAATATGTTTATGACAATAAACATTTTTACGATAAGGAAGAGTCTGTATCTTTTTCTACTTCTGGTTGGATTCGTGTTGGCTATCAAAGTCAATTAAAAAATATAGTTAAGAACTCCTGCAACTTATGTTATAGTGATAAATTTCAGGAACAATTAGTAAGTTTAAAAGTTAACAAACCATTTTTAACAGCAAATCATTTTATTATTCATAAAAAATTGTCTAATATTTTAGAGCAATAAAAAAGAAGAGGCTCTGACAAAATAAATATTGAGCTAAAATTACATAAGTTAGTAAGGTTTCAATTATTTAATTCAGACATTTCTTTTGAATTAGTAAATGATTCTAACATATATTTATTTTATTTATAGATTAGTTTTAAATTGCTTTACTTTTAACAAATTGTTAATATTTGTAACTTATTTAATTTGATAATATTGAATTTAAAGTATATGTAATTGAAAATCGTTAAAATATTGCTATAATAAAAATCTAATATAATATACATATAAATACAAATATTATGTGATAAATTTATATGATATATAAATAAATTTAATAATGTTTAAACATAAATCGTATCCCTTTTGATTATTGATAGATTGTTGAATTAGCTAAAAGTGTCATATATATATCAGACTGCAATAAGTTATATCTATTATAGGTTGATAGTAACCTGATTACATCAAAATTTTCATATGCCTATTTATAACTATTGAATACTGATTTCTACTATAAATTAATATAAATCAAATATTATATTTTTTAAAAAATAAATAAAAATCAGTATACAATTGGATACCAACTAGCTAATCAGATTAAAACACTATTTGACATTATTTTACTTATGTAAATAAGATAAATACAATATGTGATATTAATAATAATCTATATATATCACTAAATAACTGCACTAATTAAGATCATTAATGATCACCATAAAAACTGTAATTATCATTTTCACAATTTCATTGTTATCACAGTTATTATTATGATATTATTAATATTATTATAATGTTTATCACTATTTTATTTATTATATTTATCTTCATAGTTATATTTATTTTCATTATTTTATTAAATATCTTTTTCTTATAATTGTATTTTATATAAATATTCTATATTATCACTTTGATAAAAGAATAAGTTTCTATTATACAATTAATAATATAATCTTAACAACATAAAAACTATATCTTTGTCAATATCTATTTTTTAGAGCTTCAAACAGGTCAGTTCAAGTTAGGCCAATCAAGTTATCTGAACTAAGAGAATCAGATCAGGGCAAACAAAAATCTAACTTAATTTAAATTATCATTTGACTTAACCTGACCTGATCTAATCTGATCAAAATTATTCAAGAAAAAAAAGTAGCTATCATTCAAGAATGATAAAATCATTATTCTTGAACAATAAAATATCAATCTTAAATGATAAATCTATTATTCTTAAATAATAACAAATTGTTCTAACTGAATGATAAAACATCATTCTCAAATAATAAAATATTGTTCTTTGAATGATAAAATATCATTATTGAATGATAAAAATATCATTTTTAAATGATAAAATATCATTCTTAAATGATAAAATCATTATTTGTAAATAATAAAACATTATTCTTAAATGATAAAACATTATTTTTAAATAATAAAATCATTGTTCTCAAATGATAAAACATTATTCTTGAATAATAAAAATCATTTCAAATGATAAAATATCATTCTTGAACAATAAAACATTATTCTTAAATAATAAAAATCATTATTTTCAAATAATAAAACATCATTTTTAATTGATAAAATCATTATTCTTGAATGATAAATTATTATTCTTGAACAATAAGATCATCATTCTCAAATAATAAAATATCATTCTTAAATAATAAAATTATTATTTTTAAATGATAAATCATCATTTTTAAATGATAAAATTATCATTCTTAATTGATAAAATCATTATTCTTGAATGATAAATTATCATTCTTAAACAATAAAACCATTATTCTCAAATAATAAAATATCATTCTTAAACAATAAAATTATTATTCTCAAATGATAAATCATTATTCTTAAATGATAAAATTATTATTCTTGAATGATAAAATATTATTCAAAAATGATAATTGGTTAATCTGAATTTTTTCAGATTAGGTTAGATTAGATCAACCTGTTGACCTAACCTGATATTAAACTAAAAATTTAATGATCTAACCTGAATTTTTAGATCAGATCAGGTCAGATAAATAGGTCGACCTAATCTGATTCGAAATTCTACTATTTTCTTAAACATAAATCATTAATAAAGATGACCTGATCCTTCAACTTAAATAAATTCATGTTTATTTTTTTCATAATTTAATATCTTAAATTTCTTATTAGTAAATAAACTTTGTTATTCTAATAATATAGTGTTTAGATTTAATAGCAATAAAAGTAATCAGAATTATATTTTATTTATTTTATTTTAAGATAATATATGAAAATTTAAAATTACACTCTTTAGTATATGATGACAAAATTTTTAATCTAAATAATAGCTTATCTTATTATTTTTACGCTTAAATACTTATTTTAATCTTATCAATATATTATAAGCTAAATTAAAGTAGAATTTCAGTTTTGATTTCTTTCACTTTTTTTTAATTATTTTAATAAAAAAGTTTACAGTAATTATTTTTTTTTTTACTATTAATTTATTAACCTTCTTTTTACACATTATTTCAAAAATAATCATAAATTTTTAATAGGGTTAAAATCTGATTATTCAATTACCAATCCATTAAATTTACTTTAATATAAAAATTGATCAACAAAAATAAAGCCAAAATAATAAATTTTCATAAAAAGCTATAGAATCATGAAATTTTAATTTATTAGTAAAAAAAAAGAAAGTTTATTGATATTAAATTTTATCCTGATTACATTTTTGTATATTATAATACATTATTTTTTTATTAAAAATAAATTAACTAAAAATAAATAATTTAATTTAAAGATAACTTCAAATACTGCAAAAAAAAGTTGTTAACATTTTAGTTTTTACATAATTAATATAAATAAAAAAAGTAGATTATTGATAAAGTTTTCATTTTAATTATATTAACTTATTTTTCATTTTTAAGTTGATCTTTATATATTTTTTTTTGTCTAATTACATTACTTTAACATTTTTGACATTTTGAATTTAACAGTCAGTATAATATTTTTTTGATCTTTATAACATTATTTCTAATAATTAATATATTATGAAATGTTATGTTAAAACTTTTAGAGAGAAATTTCATTATAAATAGACTTCATTTTGCTTTTATTAAATTAGAAATCTTAAGGCCTATCTTAGAGCATAGGCAGTAATAATTTAATTCTATATATTTTTGTTAATAAAATCTTAACCTCTTCAGTTTTTTAAAAATTTCGTTTATTATATTAGAGATTTGTTATTAAAATTGAGTAAAAATATAGTAAATTATATGATCTATAATGTAATTTTAACATTAATAGCAAACCTCTCATATTGTAAATGATTAAGTTAATTGATATTCAAAATAAGAAGCTTTACTTTAAATATGTAAATAGATAGAATTTTTAGAAGTATGAAATTAAATTTTAGAAAGAATCTGAATTTCAAATATAAAGCTATCTGAAATTAAAATATTTGAAATTAAACTTCAGATAATAACTGAATTTCAGATACAAAGACGTCGTAAATTAAGATATTTGAAATTGAACTTCAAATAAAATCTGAATTTTATATGAGATCATCTAAATTATAATATTTAAAATTTAACTTTAAATAGAATCTGAATTTTAGATATGAGATTGTCTGAAATTGAGATATCTAAATTCAATTTCAGAGATAAAATCTGATTTTTAGATATAAGACCATCTGAAATTGAAATACCTGAAATACAATTTCAGATAAAATTAAAACTGTCTGAAATTGGAATTTCAGAAATAAACTTCAGATAGAATCTGAATTTCAGATATAAGGCTATCTGAAATTATGATATCTAAAATTCAATTTTAGATAGAATTTGAATTTCAAATACAAGGCTATTTGAAATTAAGATAACTGAAATTGAACTTCAAATAAAATCTGAATTTTATATAAATTATATATTTATAAATTAAAATTAAAGTAATATAATACTGTATGGTGGGGTATCAAAAGTTATTAGGCACTTAAAAATTAGAAAATCAATAAAAGTAGCTATTTCAAATTAAACTTATTATTTTATTA